ATAAAGACATTTCATGGTTGTGGTAGGCGTCTTCTCAATGTTTTCCTGGATCTCAGGGGATGGCTTTAAACTCTCCTTTGCTATTAGAAATATTTGGGTGAAAGTTTGAGGAACTGCAAAATGCTGGCAAATTTTTCTATAAAGCACAGTCTGCTTTTGTATCTGAGAGGAGTATTTCTTTATTTCTGGGGTTCAAGGAATAAGAAATCATGTAGCCTTTGGCTGGGCACTTCAATTTGTTCCTGGGCTTGCCAAAAAGGCTTGGGTTGAGTCACTGGACTTGACTTCAAATTCCCATTCAGAGACCACTGGGATTGTAAAACTTTTGCTGCTGAGTCCATTTCTTGTAAATGACTCCACGTAGTTAAGAATAAATGGTTTTGCTCTGTTAGTGTTAGTTTTGGGACTCTCCTTCCAAAACCCCAGCGCAGTTGTCCTGCTTATAGCAGCAATGTCAGGCATTTGCATTTTCTCCGTTCTGCATTTGTTGGAAAGTAAACAAGCAGCAATAAAAAAAACTTTATGCATGTTTTCTGCCTTGGGTGACATCTGGAATTTGCTGAATTCAACTCAAATTTTGAAAGACTCCTGAGCCTCACCTTTTTCATGCTCTGCAAGTCAGACGGAAAACCAAATAATCAGCATTAAGTAAGCTGGTAGGTCCTTTCTCTTGGTCTCAATTGACTCCAGACCCTGCTGCAGAATTCCAGTACTTCTTTTCTCCCCTCTTCCATTTGTTAAGTCTCCATGACCAGACTTAACAACCATCTCCTTTCCCCTTCTCAGATAATCAACCACTACTTTTGCGTATTACCTAGGGCGCTGTGGTACAAAGAATTTTGAGTGCCTCGTCAAACCCCAAAACAAGCAAACAAAAAAACCACTCACATCCATTACTTTTCCAGGATATCTCATTTACTTTATATCCATCTTACTTGTGTATATCAGTCTAATTTATACATCTAAGTCTTACTTTAAAAATGACTTTAAAGTAGCAAAGCTGATTTTCACACACCTTGTATAGACTTTACCACTACCAGCCAAGGCACTCTGCCCCGACTGCTTCCCACTAGCTTGTACGGAGTTGAAAGCTGGGAGTAGAATGAAGCAGAATGAAAGAACATGCAAATATCAAGCATATTGCACTTTCTTTCAGTGACTTGCCCCAGAACAGGACTCTGTCTTAAATCCTGCAAATTCCTGTTAAATCTTTCTAAACAAGAATGCTTTGAATTATTGTGAGTTGTAGAAAAGAAAATCTGTAATCATACCTTCCTAGTGATATTATATTCCGGTAGTAATTGCAACTTTTGGAGATGGCAGCATGATTAGTGAGCAAAGTCTCAGCAGACCAAAGTTTAGATCCCAGAACAACCATTCATTGACTGTGTATTGTCAGATGCATATGACAGACCTCTCATTTTTTTCATCAAAATGGGAAATGGAAATGATGGCAAGGATAAAATTAGATGATAGATGTAAGGAACAAGCCCAATGCCGGGCACACAATGAATGTAAATTTCCCTTCCCCTTTCAAGTCAGAATTTCGATTATGGACATAGAGTAAGTAACTCCCCACTAAGTGCTGACTCTGACTGTGGGACTGTGGGCACTGTCTCTACCAAAGGAGCTCTTGGTGGTCCTTTTGTTGTGACTGTTGATTGCACACATCTGGAAACTATGACAACCGTTTTGCTTTGAGTTCAGTTTGGCCCAAATGGATCGCTATATAAGGCAGCTTCTATCCTTCAGTTTTTCCCAACACCTCATAGCTTGGCTCGAATTTGGGCAGAGGGGAGGGTGCCAAAGGAAATGTACAATGTCTGGGAAAAATTCAGATTCAACTAACAATTACCCAGATCAGTATAGACCCACTAGGGCACTGTCCCTGGAAATTTTATGTACATTCTCTCATTGAAAATGCATTAGGAAGTTTTATTATGATGCTCTCTTTGCGGGTGCTTCCAAGGAGTCTGAGAGGTTAAGCAACATTCCCAAGGTCACTGGGGTAACAAGGTATGAGGCTGGAATAAGATACAAGGCTTTTTGACATGGAAGAAAGCAGGACAGGAGGATTTGCAGTATTGGAAGATTAGCAGCTGTAGTGTCTGCCTGCCAAAGTCTACTTTGAGTTCACACTGTCTGCAACAAGTGCTGGAAGCTGGGAAGCCGGGACTGGGTGGGGGTGGGAAGGTGGAGGGGGTGTCCCGGGTACCTTTCCTTGGCCTTTAAAAACCCTGTGTCCAGGGCCTCTGTCCATTGAGTCGCATATACACTGGGGCAGGTGGTGAGATATGGTCACGTAAATAATATCTGATCACTAATTTTAAAAACCCAGTTTGTAAAACAGGACTCACATCATTAACTCTTTTGAGTTTTTTGTTTAAGTTGATGACTCAGAAAGTATTTTAAAAACAACATTAGTTGTCATGCATTCATTCAACAAGCATGCACTAATCTCTCTACTATGTGTCAAGCACTGTTCTAGGTGCTGAGGATACAAAATTCTTCAAAGTGCCATCGATTGTTATTGATCAAGCAGTGGTAAATTGAGATTTTGGTGGGAGAGAATGCTAAAAAAATAAAAGTCAGCTTTCTTTTTTGTAACCATGTAAAGAAATACAGAGCAAGCCGGGCTCGATGGCTCAGCCTGTAATCCCGCGCCTTTGGGGGGCTGAGGTGAGTGAATTGCCTGAGCCCGTGGGTTCGAGACCCGCCTGGGCAGGAAGACCTCATCTCTACAATAAAATCAAAAAATTAGCCGGGCGTGGTAGCGCGCGCCTGTAATTCCGGCTACTCGGAAGGCTGAGGTGGAAGGATCGCCGGAGCCCAGCAGGTCGAGGCTGCGGTGGCCACTGCACTCCAGTCTGGGCGACAGAGTGAGACTCCAACTCCAAAAAAAAAAAGAAAGAAAGAAATACAGAGCAATTCTACGGGCAATTTTTTTTGCAGACTTATCTGGTAATTTGTCCTTGTTTCTTTTCCATTTTTTCTCTTGCTCTTTGGTTTATAGGAGAACCCCTTGGCTCCCAGAAGGCAATTTTGATTCCCAACAAGCCCTGTATCACCTCTTCCTGTGCTGACTGCCAAAGGAGGGTTTCAGCAGTGTCCTGAGTTGATGATAAACAGTGAGAGCAATATACTGCTAGGGGTTTAAGAAAAAAAATTAGAATACCAGAATGCAGTATATCAACTTCCTGCCCTCCGAATTAAAAGTCTAGTGAATGAAATTATGACCATTATTTAAGTGCAATTATGCTGAGTATGTAAAATGGAAACACAAAGTAAATCATACATTTGGCTATTACATTTCATATTTGAGAACGTGCCAGAAAAGTTTTATTACTGTTGAGTGTAATGTCAGGAGACAAACTTCTACAAATTTTATACATAACTTTTTCCATTTTATCTGTTTCCCATTTATGTCAAGTTGAACACATGGTGTGATTTTTAATATGCTCTCTTCCTTCTCCTTCCCCACATTGAATGCCAAGTGATCGAACTCAATTTTGATTATTGTTAGGCTAAAAATATATCCCAGCAGGGGCTCCAAAATGTTAAGGTCAGACCCCTTCCCCCGGGGGGTGGGGTGGGGGGTTGTGCAATCCAGTGCCACAAGAAAGATGTAAAAAATTGCTCAGAAGTTAGATTGAAAAATATAGTTTATTTAAAAAATAAATGAGAGAGAGAGAGACAGACAGAGAGAGAGGGG